GTGTGCAGGAGGTCAAACATTCATTATCTTTTCCAATGCATAACAGATCAATTTAATTAATAAATGTAAATATTTCAGTCAACATTTGCTTGATAGACTGCAACACACGTTTCAGCGCTACACGGTGCCAGGCAGGAGGCTGTTGTAAACAAACCAGCACGTGTGCCTCAGGCAATTGATCCCAAAGGAAAAAAAAAAGAGATAACTGATAAGAACAGAGGATTCAAAGAAGAATGGATTGAATTGTTTTCTTTTATTACCAATGCGGTGAGATTTCCTGCATGTTTGCTTTGCAACGAGAAGTTGTCAAGTAATAAAAAGAGCAATTTGGAAGAGCATTTCCAGGGAAGGCATGCTAAATGCTGACCACCAAGATGGGAGTGAAAAGAAAATTGTGATTGCAGAACTTCTGGATAAAGTACAGGAGAGCAAAGATAGATTTAAGAAGTGGAATACATCTCCAAACTCCACTACTGCTGCTGGTTTTGTTGCGAGCATGAAAAACCGTTCACAGTGTGAACAGGTACGCTCTTATGCAGGTATGTGAATTTTCTTTTATTCCCCTCTCCGTAATCCTCAAAATGAAAATAACACAAAAAATTTGATTTCTTTATGATGTTTCTATTATTTTATCAATATAGAAAAAAACTAATACATAAATATTGTAATGGTATTTAAACCTAAAGCACAAAATATTTTTTAAGTTTAATGTATGATTATTATATAATTAATCCCATTTAGTAATTTTTTATAGTGGGCTAATACACTTGGAGCCCATGTTGCCATATGAGACTTATATAAGACCTTTTGCAGCTCCAGACGGATTTGTTTTTGTTTTTTGGTCCAATATGGCTTTTTGAACAGTTTGGGTTACTGACCACTGCATTAAACTGTGTTTATTTGCAACTGTCAATGCAACACATCTGCCAAAAATCATCTTTGATTTTTTGTGGTTTATTATCAAAACAATCAAGAAATATGGAGATAAAGAGGCAAAAGAGATGCTTCAGGCATGTGGGATCATTTTGATCTCATATTTGTTTTAATTTTCTTGTTGTGTCATCCTATTCCTTTCATTCATAACCCTATGGATCTGAATTCAAATTAATTTCAAATTGAATCTTAGTTTGTTCTTCTTACTTTGTAAAAATAATAATAAATCCTAGTCCACAAACATTCTTTTTCATATTGTATTCACATTGTATGTTCACATATATGGATACCATCTAAGAATATCAAACATATTTTAAATTTAAACGATAGACACCAAATAACATATTATTGCAAATATTGGCATAAATCATATTATAGGTCCTCAAAGTTTAGTCTGTCAAAGACGCTCCCTGTATTCATTTTAATGTCCAGCAGGTGTCACTATTTAGTAACAGTATCAATACAGTTTCGAAATTTTTGTTCTGTATTTTGTTCAAATGTGATTATAAGGGAGTTACTCAGAGGAGTTCCAGTTTTATTAATAGAGGTTAATAGTAGGATTTTTTTTAATTTTTATTCTTTACTAACTTCGATGCAGGCAACATATATATGCTTTTTTTTTTTGCTTAGATGGAAATAATACAATGCCTAAGAATTAAAATGTTCAAAATAAAAGATTAAATAAAATTGTCTTTATTTTATAATTAGTTATTTTATGTATTTTATGTATCAATACTTTTGACTGAGAAGGGTGCTCATGATAAGAAGAAATAACTCTTTCATTAAATAATTTACTAAAAGCTTGCCTTATTTTAAAAAAGGCATTCCAGAAAAACATTTCTTTCTAACGTTTTAGTTATGTAGCCCCGTCTTCTGCATACTTGTCTTGCAAAGCACTCAAAAACCTACTTGCGTAATGTAAGGATTTGCAGCCACCTTTACTGCTGCCTGTATTTAACGATTTGCTCATTATAATAATAATAAATACTTGACACCAAATAATTTATCAAACGTTTTACACTTTAAAGATAGCTTAATTTTGTTGATACATAAATATATTTATATATTTTTAAGTAAATAATAACTATACACTTCCGAATATTTCGACAGGCATTTGAAAAGCACACCTCATGGGGCTTTCGAATATCCTCCCGTTGACATTTCTTACCAAATGTTTGTTGTTAGCACAACATGTTGGAGTTGGGGCATTTGAGGTAATAGAGCAAAACGTAAAATTTATTTAAGTCCGAAACTTGGCTGAGGCCAAGATGTCTCGGATGTTGAGACTTCTCTCAGCGGCTGTTGTGCCTTTTTGTCGAACTGGGGGAGTCCGAGCTCGCACATTCGGTTCTGGAAACCTCTTAGTACTGGTGAGTAACTGCTGACCTGTTTCTCCTGTCTGGTCTTTAAACTCAGTCTTGACTGAAGTAAAACACATTTTACCGCAACTCCTTTCATTGAAATTATATGTAAGACGTTTCTGCTTAGTAAAATATCATATTTCCTAATTAACAGTGGGATGGGATTTTGTTTGCAACATAGCATCTCTCCGCTGCATATTTTTCGTTCAAGTTTAATTTCATGTCTCTAATCAATCTCCTGGGTGAAAATTCGCCAAGTAGTCGTATATCGGGTCATGTTACCAAAACAAAAAGTATATTTCGTTCTTAATTATACGGCTGTTTTATCTGCTTCTGACCCCCAGATTTTCACACCCTCCGTCATCGCTCCGCCCCGCTCAAGTGTGTCTTGCGGAGCAGTTGCGCAGTCATGTTAATCAATTAGAGAACTGTTCCACATGTTCCGCTACTCATCCGCACATCACAGTCCACATACATCTTCTTCTTGTAAGGTTTTATGGCGGTTTGCAAACTAGTTAAAAGTGCATTACCGCCACCAAACAGATAAGGAGTTAAACAAGAAAGCAGGAAACAAGACTCGCCCCAGGAAAAAAAACAAATAAAAATAATTTATATATATATATATATATATATATATATATATATATATATATATATATATATATATATATATATAATATTTATTTTCATTTTTGTTTCTGAACTGTTAAATTTAACCCAACATTCGTCCTCATAATTTGTAATATATCTTTAAGTTATCGTCACTCTGCCAGTTTCTGATGGTCCTATTGGTTTCCCCATCATGCTTTCAACCATTCCCCAGTTTAAATCTCTAACTTCAAGATTTTTTTCTGCAGCTTTCACTATTATTTTGATTTTTTGGGGTTTTCCTTGTCGTCTGTGCACTACAAATGATCACTTTTACAATGAAAAGAACAAAATCTTTCTTTTTTACAATCAACAAATCTTCTTAAATGTTGGGATACTGCTCCAGAGGGTTTGAAGTTGTCATTTGCTTAACTGTTGGTTTGGGTCTTTCTAACTGGGATGGGATCCTTATTGCAGCTTCAGCATACTGTATGTTATTCCAAGCTGTCATGTTAATCAATGAGAACTGTTCCACATCTACCGCCAATCCTCCACACGTCAAAATACAGAGCAGAGCTGAGTTTCTGCTCAGCTCCGGTCCCTTCCGGGTCATGATCCACAGTTGCAATCACACCAAACAGGAAAAAGAACGTGGAGAAGATCCGGTTTGTCAAATTACATCTCCGTCCTCCGGAGCTAAATTATTTTCTGGAAAGGAAAAAGATTGTTGTGATATTCTGGATTGTGAAAGTAAAATAGGATAACGACAGATCAGTAACTACTAATCAGAGGATTTTTTTTTTATATTTCCAAAAAAGAAGACAGTTTTATTGGATACAAACTATTGGTACTTCAACATATCAGGAAACAGATTTTTCACCTTAATCAATATAGTGTTTTTTTTAAACTGAAACCGGTAATGAGCCAGTGGATAAATGCAACAGTAATGTAGTTCTGTAATCAAAGAAAAAGCAAGACCCACACTTCTCTGGTATAGATGTATTATAACCCTTCCTCAAGCAGTATAAACTCCTGATGTGCTTTTATTGGAACCTGTGATAACTGTTGGTAGAATATTATTTCTGCTGTATTGTTCACTATTGTGTTATGTTTTTCTTCTAGGATCATGGATTTTTTGGTCAACATAAAACAAATATCCTTTCTTGTCAGAGATATCGGTTAGCTCAGCGTCGGCTCTATTCCACTGAACCAAAAGGTGAGAGTTGCTGTGTGTGATCGCTCGCAATTGACTCTTTATTTGTGTGTTGTTTTACATGCTTAAAGATGGGGTGAAGAGTTAACTAAGAAGATAAATCGTTTTATTTTTTCTCAGCGAGGACTGGACAGTTATTGATGATAAAACATTTTTTCATATCAGCAAAATCTGATTGTTGCTATCTTTCTTCTCCTTAAAATGAAGCCAAACTTTCAGGTCTTTTCAAAAATTCATGAAAGTCTTCCACTATACCTTTAATTACATTACCCAACCCTCCAAAGAGTGTTATTTTTATTCATTAGCATCTGAATATTTCAAGACTCTAGTATTGACAGTAATTAACGACGGGGAGCACTTTCAGATAAACGTTTCACCCCATCTTTAAATTTTGTAGATTTTTTTTAAAGTGCTTTGATTTGTAGTATGTGTAATAAACCTGATTTACTCTCTGCAGTTACCTTTTTTATGCCTTAAAATTAAATCCTATTTTACACCTTCCTTCCTTGTTCTTCGTATCCTTTTTTGTTCTAATGGTTAGGACACAAAAGGATAGAAGAAGAGATTCATTTTAATGCAAATGGTATTAAATGAATCTCTTCCGTCAAGATTCTAAAGATTTTGAAAGGGAAAAGCTTTTTTTTTTTTTTTGCATAATGACCCTGTATCACACACAGACTCATAGAAGATGTGTGAGTATCGGTTTTAACACCAGGGATGGTTTGTATGCCATATTTTTAAGCGCTTTTATTTCAAGAATGCCAGTAAGAATTCAATCTATTGCATTCTTGATGTTCAATAAATCTTATCGGCTGTATTTCAGATGGAAAAGGAGGCGGAGCAGGAGGAGGACGACCAGGTGGTGGAAAGAGAGGCGGGGGAGGGAAGGACTGGTGGAGTCGGATGCAGAAGGTTTGTCATTAAAAAGCTACACCAAGGCAAAGTTAAAAAAAATTTTAAACTACAAATAATTTTAAAACTTTGGTAATCTTAGTTAGACTTTTCTTACCTTCCCTTTAGAATATTTTACATTATAGGGGCCCTAGTTATGTACTATGCCTATATTAAATACCGGAAACATTTGTCACTCGTAAAATGAAAGATACATAATATAAAAACTATTAATTCCAAAGTGAATTAAATACTTCTTATATATTATAAACAATGTTTGCCAAGAGTCAGCCTTGATAGTGTTTACTTTGCCCTTTTTGAGCCTGAAAATAATTTTCCCGTTGGACTCAATCAGCAGACCTAAGGCTGTGACACAATGTGAAGCCATAGCTGTATCTTTATCCATGAAAACTTGGGGTGATTGGACAGATATCAAAAGGACTGTTCCGACTCTTGCTTGTTTTCATGTGTAAATATCATTTCCGCTTTCCCAACCATTCACTAAACACTGCTAGGGTCCTCTGAAATGTGAGCACCCTAAATATTACACTGATCATTGGCAATAATGTTTTGGTTTACAAGCTCATTCATTTAGTGCTCCATGTTTCTGTTCTCAGGGCGACTTTCCCTGGGACGAGAAGGATTTCCGATACGTGGTGATAGGTGCTGCTGGAGTCACCTCAGTACTGCTCTACCTTTACTTCAGAGACAGCGGCCGAGAGATCAGCTGGAAGGACTTTGTTCACCGTTACCTGGGAAGAGGCCTGGTTGATCGATTGGAAGTTGTTAACAAACAGTTTGTCAGAGTTATCCTTGTACCAGGAGCTGATACTGAAGGGGTAAGGATAGGCTGAGCTCTATAAATGTTTGTTTTACCAAGAAATATAATGAACCTAAAGACAATTACAGAAACTGCCCTTTAGTTTGGCACTAAACTTCTCTTGCGTACAGTTATAGTATAGGGAAACTAATGTCCCTTCGATTATACAAATTATGCCTAAAAGAGCCATCCTATTGTTTGATCTGCTTCTTTTTTTAAACTGGGAATTTTTCTAATTTTTCTTATGTTTCTCAGAGTTATGTTTGGTTCAACATTGGGAGTGTTGATACTTTTGAGAGGAACCTTGAGGCTGCACATATGGAGCTTGGGCTGGAGCCATCTCACCGGGCTGCTGTCATCTACAGCTCTGAGAGTGATGGGTGAGATTAACTTTTCATTACCCAAAGAAGTCAGTTGTAGATGACTCCAGTATGGGAGCTCGATTATAACCACCCCTCCAGGAAAAAAAAAAAATCTCTTTATTTTGGTACTGTTGAAGGGTTCTTGCTTGTTAAAGTTGCAGCATGCTGTATATAAGCAGAATGGGAGAATAGAGATAGAATGAGACAGAATGATGAAAAATGGGTCTCTATGTTCTCCAGCAGTCTAAGCCTATAGCAGCATGACTATAGAGATAGCTCAGGATAACCTGAGCCTCTCTAACTATATGCTTTATCAAAAAGGAAAGCTTAAAGCCTACTCCTAAAAGTAGACAGGGTGTCTGCCTCACGGACTAAAACTGGTAGTTGATTCCATTGGAGAGGAGCCTGATAACTAAAAGATCTGCCTCCCATTTTACTTTTAGAAATTCTAGGAACCACTAGTAAATCTGCAGATAGAGATTTAAGTGCTCTGTTAGGGACATAAGGAACAATCAGATCTCTGTAAGATGGAGCTTGGCCATTTAAGGCTTTATATGTGAGATGGAGGGCTTTAAATTCCATTCTGGATTTAGAAGGAAGCTAATGAAGAGCAGCCAGGGTAGGAGAGACATGATCTCTTTTTAATTTTCATCAAAACTGTGGCTGCACTTTGCACTGGAGCTTCTTTTTCAGACTCTGGTCCAAAGACAATAACTTCTTTTTTGTCTGCATTCAGCAGCAGAAAGTTAAGAGTCATTCAGGTTTTTATATCTTTAAGACAGTCTGTAATCTGTAATGGATGGGCTTCATAGACTCGATTTTGTTTACACAAGTGTAAAACAAAAATTAATTTCATTTGGAACAGCTCCCTGGACATTTAATCTTTTTTTGAAAGTGCAGCCTTGAAAAATAGTAAAAAATATTCACCTGGATCAGTCACTGGTTTATGATACTGACTTTATTTTCCCATCACTGTTTTGAAACATTGGAGAATAGTTGATTGATGTTATATTTTTCATTTTTATAGGTCTTTTCTGATGAACATGATTCCTACTCTGTTGCTGATTGGATTTTTGCTGTTCACATTACGACGTGGTCCAATGGGAGGAGGCGTTGGTGGTGGAAGGAGCCCCTTTAGCATGAGTGAATCAACAGCCAAGATGATGAAAGACAACATAGATGTTAAATTCAAGGATGTGGCGGGCTGTGAGGAAGCAAAGCTTGAGATCCTGGAGTTTGTAAACTTCCTGAAAAACCCACAGCAGTACCAGGACCTTGGAGCCAAGATCCCTAAGGTGAAAGCACATTGGCCTCTTGGGGTGAATTTTCCTGTCTTCATTCTCTGTTTCCTGACAGTAGTTGATTGACGCATGTGTTATTGTAGGGTGCAGTGTTGTCTGGCCCCCCTGGGACGGGAAAGACTCTGCTTGCCAAAGCCACAGCAGGAGAGGCCAATGTCCCCTTCATCACAGTCAATGGCTCAGAATTCCTAGAGATGTTTGTGGGAGTCGGTCCAGCCAGGGTAAGGAAAATAATCTTGCCAATGTAAAAGGGAGTTTCTCTCAAATGGTAAATGTTTAACAAACATTACTTGTGTAAAGGTGAGGGACATGTTTGCCATGGCAAGGAAGAATGCACCGTGCATCCTTTTCATTGATGAGATTGATGCTGTGGGAAGAAAGAGAGGCGGAGGGAACTTTGGGGGTCAGAGTGAACAGGAGAACACGCTAAACCAGCTGCTAGTGGAAATGGATGGTAGGCTTCACAATTCCTCCATTCTGATGTAGAGTATGTTGTATTTTTCTTGCTTTATTTTATCTCCTTTATTGTCTTGTTCCCTAGGTTTTAACACAGCTACTAATGTGGTGGTACTTGCTGGAACCAACAGGCCTGACATCCTGGACCCTGCTCTGATGAGACCGGGACGCTTTGACAGACAAATTTACATCGGTACTGTCACTCATTATGCTTTAACACAGACTGCAGGACACGGTTTTAAAAAGTATTCAGTTAAAGAATTAAACTGAATAATGTTAAAATCAGATTTCTGTAGAAAACTGACCTATGTAACTAGATGATGAAAAACAGTCGCTGTAGATTACAGCTTGTCTTTTTAGAAGTGCATATTTTAATCAACCAGGGGGTTCATGAACAAAGAATTGCATCAACCTGCTTGGTGTACACTCAAATCAAGAAACTGGAATACATGGGGAAAAAAATATATATATAACTGAAGGTACTTTAGGGTTCTAGTATGCTTCCTTTGCACAACCCAGTCAATAGTCCTCTTTCAACAACATTATCATATTCTTGACGTACATTTCTCTTACTATTTCTCCTACTCTGGGAAGCTTAAAAAAAGATCTTGTAAACGATAGATAACTTTGTAATATAGAGATTTTTCTGCCGATGCCTGAATAAGATATTGGCTCCTATATAGACTAAATAGCTGGATCGGATATCTGTGATTTGATATTGGATATCTGAGACCCAATACAGTGCGCACTCTACCTGGAACTGCATTTCTTTCTTTTTGCTAAATATTTTTTTTAATAAATAATCTAAAGTAAATTTATATCTGTGTTAATTTGTTAACTTTTTTTTTAACAATGTTTATGTTGAGCCTAGCACCTTGACTCAGGTTTCAAATGATATGGCTCATTCCTTTAACAACTGCATCGATATCGCCCGATCCGCTGGGGAATGAATCAAAAGATCTGTAAATGACCTGATTGCACTGTTACAGAAGCAAAAATAAAAGAAAAAGAAAAATCATTTGATCAGATAATTGTGTTTTTAATAAGAAAAAAAAAACTGAAAAAAAGGGTGTTTAGATGGAGGCAAGAGGTGCAACATAGGATGTTAATGCTTAATTTGAAGTGGCCACCAACCAACATGACACAACATCCAGCTACAGGTTTCTAAAGTTCCTTTTTCAACTTTCTATCCATTTTCTGTTCGAGATGTTTCAATGGTAGCTTGATTAACATAGAGCTCACTGACAGTTCTTTCTTTTGAGGAAATGACAAACCTTTGTCCCATAGATACTGACATGCCATCTGCAAGTGTAGTGACCGATAGTTCATCAATGAATAGATCATCAGCAGATAAAAATGTAAAATAAATGTAAAATAGCAGAGTTGCATAATAAATAATGATGTAGCCTAATAGAATGGACAGTTTCTTCTAAGTAACAACAAATTTAGTGAAAAACTAGGTTTTGATAAGAGCTGACTGATTGTTCAAGACTCCTATCTCAAGTCTGGTTCACTGTTAAAATCTGTCATTGCCTGAGAGAAGATTAGAAACAGGTGAAAAAAAGTGAATTCAACATTTTCTCCTAAATCACTTGTATGAAGGGATTTGTTTGCACAAACACCTCTTGCTTGAGGCTCATTGTTCCAAAGCATTCATGCTCAGGATACTGAAATGGCTCGCACCACTTCTACATGTTACAGCTTGTATGTAAACCAGAAAAATGTAAATTGTTGAGCTTCAGATGGGTTAATGTGGATGAATGATGAGTTCTTTTTCTGCCTCTCTTTAGGTCCTCCGGACATTAAAGGCAGGGCTTCCATCTTCAAAGTGCACCTGCGACCCATCAAACTCGATCCCAGTTTGGATAAAGATGCTCTTGCCAGAAAAATGGCAGCTGCCACACCAGGATTTACTGGTAGGTAACCTATTCTTAATGTAATTGAAACTTCAATGTTTGTTTAAGTTTTCAATTATATGAAATCAAAAAACCCAAGTATTTGATTTATTCCACCAAAAAAAACACAAAATTTTTACAATAAACGTTTAAAAGCAAAACCATGTTTAAAAAAAAAAAAAAAAGTTCAATAACAGAATTTGTCAGGATTGATTACGACGTTTTAGATTATTCTATCTAGACTGAGATGTGCTATGGTTTTTTTTTTTTTACTTACTAAACTTTACTTTTCTAATTTTAGGTGCTGACATTGCTAACGTGTGCAATGAAGCAGCTCTGATTGCTGCCAGGTACCTGAGCCCAGCTGTCACCCCAAAGCACTTTGAGCAGGCCATCGACCGAGTCATCGGAGGTCAGTGACCATGATTTCCTCTTTAAGAATCTGCCAAGTTTGCAGATGAGCTCTGGCTCTGTATCTTAGTATGGGGTAGATATATCTATGTCTATGAGAGAGGCATGTAAACCATTGCTACAGAGGTAAAGCATAAGGGAAAGATGTGAAGTAGTTAGAGGGGACAGAACCGAGGAAAACCATTTGACTGAGCTTCCATCACTGAGGTAAGATAGGTAAGAGAAAAAGTGTTGATGAAAGGGAAAAAGAAGTATTGTGCACTACAGGGAAAATTAAACTTCCTAAAGTTGACATTATTTAGGTTACATTTTGAGGTTTGCAAACGGTAGGAAAACCTAAGTGGCTTTTAGAAACGATGATAAAGACAGATTTATTGTTATTAACATGTTTGGTAGGCCTATAGAAGCTACACACATAACTCAGGATAATCTGAGCCTCAAAAGAAAAGGTTGACACCTGGCCTTAAATGTAGACTGGGTGTCTGCCTCATGGGTTGAAACTGGTAGTTGGTTCCACTGGAGAGGAGCCAGAAAACTAGAAGACCTGCCTCATATTCTACTTTTAGTAATTCCAGCAACCACCAGTAAACCTGCTGTCTGAGTGCTCTGTTAAAAAAAAATAAAAAAAATAATTAGATATCTGATATAAGAGGGAGCTCAATTATATGTGAGAAGGGCAAATTTAAAGTGTTTAATTTAACAGGAAGACAACCAAAAAAAATCTTGAACAGGAGAAATATGATTTATTCTTTTCATAGAAACTTTGAGGTGTTTTTTGGATCATCGGAAGGCATTTAACTGATGTATAACTTTCCAATAGTAACGAACCAGTATAGTCCAGCTTAAAAGAACCAAAGGCATGAATCAGTTTTTCAGCGTAACTCATGGAAAAAATGTTACAAATTTTTTTATTCCACAATAAGAAAAGAGGAATTCCTCAAAACTTTTTTGATATGGGAATTAATGATCAGTCCTCAAAAAAATAATACCAGGGTTTTATTTAAATGATCGAAGTTCAGTTTAAAACCGTTCAGAAGAAGTTATGTAGTTTATTTTGAAAGGACTCCATTTATGATCTAATGTCATCTAAAGAGGGTCATTTTTGTTTTGCATTAATTTAAAAGCAGAAATTTAAAAGTAATATTGTTTAGTGCTCTTCGAGACATGGCTGTAGTCTGTCCAAATATTAAAATTCATTGGGATTAATTTACAAATATAGCAGAATATCATCAGCATAAGAAAGGAACTTAATCCCACGTTGTCAGGTTAAATACCAATTAGGAAGCATAAGAGAAGCGGCCCAGGCACTGAATCCTGCGATAAACCTCATATTATGCTTGGGCTTGAGAAATATGTATTATTAACATGATTGTTATTATTATTAACAAATGATGAGCTTGATATTTGCATAAAATAAGTGTTTTCTCTGTTTGAGCAGTTGGCAACTGTCAGAACATTGTAAGTGAAGCAGAGTGAGAAGTAATTAGTTTTTATCCTGAGTTCTAATATACATTTGGACAGTTTTTTTTAATTTATTTTTTATAACTTTTTAACATTATGTTAAAAGTACTACATCAGTAAAATCCTTGCGTGATGTAGACTATAAACAACTATGATACAGGCAGGGCAACTGAGTTAAGACCTTGTATACTTCATAGTGATGTTTCAGATGATCTGTTTCTGTCTAGGCCTGGAGAAGAAGACCCAGGTCCTGCAGCCTGCTGAGAAGAAGACTGTAGCTTATCATGAAGCCGGCCATGCCATTGTTGGCTGGTTCCTGCAACATGCTGACCCCTTGCTAAAGGTATGTCGTCTGTACACAGCACAATTACATCATGGAAACAAAATAAATACCAGAATCTATAATGCTATAAAATGAATACTCTCCAGTTTATCATATTTTCTTAGAAATGTACTATTTAAATGTGTTCAGAGCAAGGTAAGAACAATCAAAACAAAAATTAAAAATTGAACAATAAAAGTAGTGACTTATAATCCAGCTGCTGTAAATGAAGGGATTATGTTTGGCGTTTATCAGATGAGATGGTGATATGCTCCATAAGGCATACATTCGTTCAGGGCTGAAACATTTAATGGGATAATTGTACTCATGGTCTTCCACTTATCGGGGATCCGGTCTTGGGGACAGTGGTCTCCGCAGAGACTCCCAGACTTCCCTCTCCCGATCTACCCTGTGGTTCCTCCACCACTACAGCAACTAAGTTTTCCACAAGGTTTAGCCGGGTTTGGCTTTCTCAGAGTGTAGCGTCCCGGTTGAAAAGATGGTCTCTGAAACTGATGGTTCACAATTTTTTTTTTTTTTATTGAATAGCCTTGCTTGTGAACACACCGTAAAAGCTACAAAATACACAAATAAAATCCATATTAGTAACTCAGACAGTAAGTTGACTTTAACCTTTTTTACGCCATCAATTTACCATGAATCAACCTTTTTAATCTGGGCAATCCTTACCTTTAGTTCTATCACCATATTTTGCAATGTATATTAATTAAATCATTTAGTATAGGATTTTATAATGCCTTGTACCATGAAATAAAAGAAAATGCATAATAATGTAACCATCTGTGACTTCACATAGTATAAATTGTTGCTATTCACAAACATTTGTATTGCTGAATAAGCATGGCAAACTTAAGAGAGACCATTAGCACTGTCTAGTGGACATAAAAACGTAATTATGACAAATATAACTTAACAGCAACCTGTAAGCTCCGTGAAATATGACTAAATATGCATTCAAAAAACAAACACTGATACAAACCTTGTTCCCTCATCAACCAGGTGCTAAGGATCCTTTGCAAATAAAAAGTACTGCAGGACAATATGCTTTTTCCCTTTTTAACTTTAGAACACAGCTTCTCTCTGCACACCAGTGTTTGCACCACTGCTGTACACACTGCAACAATCTATTCGCGTCACTTTCCTGCTCTGGGCCTTTCACAATAAAAGTATGGTCATAAGTAGGGATGCACAATATAATCGGCCCCCTTATCGGTATCGGCCTGTATCAGCCTTAAAACTGAATATCGGACATCGGCCACCCCACCGATATTTAACCCGATATTTGATCAGCTTGTGAGTTTCTAAAGTCTAAAAAAAATAAATAAAAAAAAACTACTTCTTCTTCTTCCTCAAAAACTTCTTTTTTACAGACTTAAAAACTTCTAAAGAAGAGGGAAAAAATATTGATACATTAAAATATCACAATATCTTCATATGCTGATATATTGCCATTTAAAAACACCATATCAATCTCTTTTACTAATGAAATATTGCTATATGTCATTGTTATGCTACGAAATCCCCCGAAAATTCACGAAATGTTGCCATATTTTTATATGTTGATATATTGACGCGGTATCGATCTATTTTACTAACAAATCTCACAAGAATTTGCAAAATATCACGAGAGTTTGTAACAGAACGATGAAATTTCACGAGATTTTGAAAGTAAAATAGATCGATACCGCGTTTTTAAAAATCAATTTGATATCAGCATATGAAAATATATTTGAGTATATTATTTTTCAAAGTGTCAGAAATGGATAACAAAACTGCTATTTTCAATGACTACTTATTTTTGTCCAGCTGTAACATCGGTATCAATATCGGTTATCAGCTCCATGAGTTTTAAAATATCGGCATATCGGATATCGGCCAAAATCCCAATATCGTGCATCCCTATTCATAAGCATATTACGGCTTTAGCAAAATAAGGTCTTTGGATTAATTTAAGACACAGAAATGTTTATAAGGACATTTACACTGAGCTCTACATATATCACTGCTGACAGTTCAGCTCACTGGCCAGTAGTGAACCTTAACAACAAACTTAATTATTTTTCAATCATCCTCCTCCTCATCTTTATTTTGATCAGTTGGAGTTTGTGGCCTCTTCACGCCAGCTATATGTTGCTAAATAATAAGAATAAAACTTTTCCCTGGTGAAGCAAATTGAAAACAAGTGTGAGAACTTCTACATCTTTCTTTTTTTTCCCTGCATATGAAGGAAGTGGTCCTGAAATTTACATCAAAATGCATTTTCATGGTATAAAGGCACAGTGGTATATCTGTATTCTTGTAATTTTGCAAACTTTTGGTGTTAAATACCTGTTATAGTTGTACATAGACGGTTTACTTCAATTCAAACAATTCAGAGATTAAATGGTTGATATCGGCCAGCATAACTCGGACCAGGACAGCTACTGCATGATGTTTATAGAGCTTTGCCTTAATTTCAGGTGTCAATCATTCCACGGGGGAAGGGTCTCGGTTATGCTCAGTACCTCCCAAGAGAGCAGTACCTTTACACCAAAGAACAGCTGTTTGACAGGATGTGCATGATGCTGGGTGGCCGCGTGGCTGAGGAGGTCTTTTTTGGCCGGATAACGACGGGGGCTCAGGATGACTTGAAGAAGATCACACAGTCTGCTTACGCTCAGGTACACTTGCTGAGTCCGAATGTGAGTAATACTGACACAGCTTTACACTTAGCTTTACTTTGTTTACTGACATTTAGGTGGTGCAATTCGGGATGAGTGACAAGGTGGGCCAGGTTTCGTTTGACCTCCCCCGGCAGGGTGAGATGGTCCTGGAGAAACCGTACAGTGAGGCTACAGCTGAACTCATTGATCAGGAAGTCAGAAAACTGGTGGATGAAGCATATGAGCGCACCCTGCAGCTCATCATGGACAAAAAGGATGAAGTGGATAAGGTGAGACTTTTTTTTAGCAGAGCATATTTACTTGTAGCACAGGTAATGCATCTTGAATTGTTTTTAAAATGGTTATTGTATTTGTTGTATTTAACTTTCCATCAGTGTCTCCAATGCTAAGCCTAGGTTGGTTCCAACATATAATGATCAGTTAAGAACTTGCTGCAAAAAATAAGAATTAGTCCCTTATTTTAGGAAAATGCTATTTACATTTGATGTGAGATCAATTGAATATGTTTTTGCTCTTAAAATAAGAAATAAAACTTATCGATGATCTTATTTCAAGTGTAGTATATATAATTATTATATTTCAGAGTCCAAAACACTTCTTTCACTGGCAGTTCATTTTACTTACCAGCTCAAATTCTTTTAAATTAAAAAACACAAATTTAATGTTATAGTTTTTCAATAAGATGTTATAGATGTTGAAAGCTCTCCACAACAGACTTATAGAAGATGCGCAGCATATTGCTGCAAATGCTAAAGGAACTAAGCTTCCTTAAGAAGTACATTCTACTCTATACCTTTTTGTAGACAGCTTCACAGTTGCATCTCTTGTCAGGTTTGTTGTCAGATAATTTTATTTTCCTCCATATCTTTTCCCATGAAATTAGGATTATCTTAACTCCAATTTCCTCTGAAATCTACAATAATCTTGATTCATTGACATTCAGGATTAGATGAATGTTTCCACACCATGCTTCAAAGCGGTTCACCAGCTTCCTGTACTTATCTTTGATGCACACAGTGGCTGCAGAGCCCTGCCTTGGAACAGACCAGCCATATTATTTAATGGCATTTAATGCAGCCAATGTCTGATTTTTGTTGATTTGGCGGACGTTATGTTGTAATTCATGGAGTTGTATGTCTGAATCAAATACATTACGCCGACTCAGTCATGTTTATCTATTATTCCGTCCTCAGGTGGGGAAGCGGTTGCTTGAGAAAGAGGTTCTAGACAAAGCCGACATGGTGGAGCTGCTCGGTCCTCGGCCATTCCAAGAGAAGTCAACCTACGAGGAGTTTGTAGAAGGAACAGGGACCTTTGAAGAAGACACAAGCCTTCCAGAGGGCCTCAGGGACTGGAACCAGGAGAGAGGAGGGGAGGCTGAAGAGACAGGCCCAACCCAGGACAAACAGCAGGCAATGTAGGGCCTGGGATACTTGGAGAAAACATCTTATCTGGACAAAAAGTAGTTTAGTTCTTCTCTGTCTGGGAGGATGACAAAACCATTGGGTACAAAACATCATTCACTCATGCCTTGTTCCCAACTTACAAGATTTGGACTAAAGTCAGGATACATCCTTATTATTCATATATTTATAGAAATTAAACTCAGTGGTTTATCTTTAGTCAAATATGAGCTTCGAAGCGCCTCAGAGTCGCAGGCTCCAGTTTCTGCCACATTTATACCAGAACTGCAGATTCAAACTGTGTGGACGCACTGCTTTCTTTATTTATGTTTTTAAAAAATACCAGTCTCTCTGACGGGAAAAAAACTCTGGACTTGATGAATGTTTCTGTGAACAAAGAAGCTTGAACTGTTTTTAAAAATTACATCAAAAATGCATTTTTTTAATGTATATGTAAAAAAACAAACAAACCACGAACTGCTCTGTTTCATGATACCACAGCAACCTTCATTTGGATTTTACTTGTTTTACTGCTGTAAAATTAAATATACATAACCTGTGTGGGATCCTGAAGTTTTTCTTTCATGATAAAAAAAAATATATATCCCATCAGTTAAATTACAGACGGTAGGGGACTTATATTGATATTGAAAAATCTTTGAAGGGAAAATTGATTCACCGAAAAGGTCTTTCTGGTGTTTTATTTTTTCTTTGTCATTTTTGATCTAATTTACAACCTTTAAATGTAATGATTTATTGCAGAAATTGTTGATTGTGTTTGTAAACCTAAAAGTATTTTGCTTTTGGGACATATTGCTGATTTGTTTGCTAATTCACCCCTTTGTTTTAGATGTAAATATCTTTTAGCTTCCTGGTTAAGTTGCAGGATGATGAAGTAGATTTTCCCGACATTAGAGAATCATAATTTTTTTCAGATTTCCTATTGACTGAAGACACTCTAAAATCTTCTTAAGAGGATGCTTAATTTTGGAGAAACCTGGGCTGTTGCAGAGAGATGGAATCCATCTCATGGTGCAGCTCTTCTTTCAAGGAATCTAGTCAAATGTATCAGTCCCCCTAAAACCCTGACAGCCGGGGTCCTAGTTCAACACACCTCTCTGTAGCTACAACATCCAGAAATGATTACCCATGACAGAAATCACATAAATTATAAAATAATCCAAAGGAGAAAATATTGTGAATTAAAAATAACATTACTCCAACTATGAAAAAAGAAAACAATGTGGTTAATTGAAAATAGGATCACCCTCCTAAAATAGATTTAATAACTTGATTTGTGATAATCTGATCAATATTGTCTAACAGAAACCTGCCTGCAGCAGGAGGATTATTTTGGCATAAATCAGTCAAATCCATGTTATTTACCTTTTAAATGTAGAGAGCTACTGGGCAAGGAGGAGGGGTTGCAACAATAAACATTCAATCTTGCTTATTGATTAATCAGTTAACAATTATAATTGTTTTGAGCATTTAACCCTTAATTTACTCTATCCAAATTGTAAAGCACTAAAACCACTTTTTTTATTTTTTTCCAGACTTTCTATGTTATTTACTGTTTAAAAACATGACAAGGTCATAACAGGTGGGGGATTTTAAACTTAATAGTGATGTTGAAAGGGACAGCTTAAATGCTGTGGTTCAATTCACATAACAAATTAGCCATAAGAAATTAGATTTGGACACCCATATATACTCCTCCTCTGCAGCTCATCAGTGCTGGTTTCTCTTCTTTGCTTTGCTCCGTGTGTGTGTGTTTCTCCCTGGCATCTCCTGGTTTTTGATTTCTTTATTTTGTTCCTGGATTTTTGCCCCTGTTGCCTTTGGAACCTTAATTAAATCTGCAAGATCTCATCTCTGCCTCCTCATCTCTGCAATTGGGTCCTCAAACAACCTCCACATAACCTTGACACTTAAATTATAAAAGTAAAAGTAATACATCTGAAAATGTTAAGGACAGATGCTTTAAAGCTTACACTAGTTACTGCGCAACTGTATTAAAGAAACATTTTTCTACAATTCTGCATAATCACTTACTTAGAATTTATTTTATTGGTTTTATAACTAATGATAAAACTGTCAATTTTAAATCTGAATCATCATGAACAACTACTTATTTTGATGGGGTACCGAGTCCAACCAGGAAGAAATTGTCTGCATGAAGCTAATTATATTGATGGATTTTATTTTTTAAATGCCAACAGGCCATAAAGAAAACTAGCTTAAAAGAAACAAAACTGAGTATATTTTTAATATAATTTTTACTCCAGTAAAGTATAGATAGCCAAAATTTCTACTTCAGTAAGGTAATGAAGTATTTGTACTTTATTAGTTGACACCTCTTAACTTTAAGCAGCAAAATTCTAGAATAAAAGCAGCAATTGGTATGGTAAATACTTATATTTGTGATTTCATATGCTCTGTCCATGTGACTAAAATAATCACTGCTGCTATGAGAAATCTAGTCAGGTGTCCTGATTACTTAAACTGAATGTAGAAAAGAAATAATACTATTAAAGACTTTCAAAAAAAACTTAAGAGTGGGAAATATTTAAAGAGTATAAGGGAATTGGTAGCTTGGAAGATTAACCTCAGGAAATGAGTCATGAAGCACTATGACACTTTTCTCTTGAACTTTTGAAAACATTGGGTTTAAAAATGCAACTCTATTATCTACTGTGACACATTTTTGAAAATGTAAAACTCATCTCATTAACAACATTTCTGAGTGAAAGAACTCCCAGAATGCAGCATATCCAAGTACAATGGTAATGTGCCTGCACACTGAAGCTGCACTTTTTATACCTGACCAGCGGGAGGCAGCTACCTTTCCTCAGAGTCAGGTTAGGAGACTTGGGTGCTGTTCTTTTTAATCTTTTTAATCAGTTTTTACCTATTACAAAAACAATCTAAACTGAGTAAAAAATGGATTAAAAATGAAATAGACATTTATCCCTGTAATACAGAGACACATTGCTTAAGGTCTACATAAAACATAAACTGATTATAACTAACTAGTGAAGAATTTTCATATCTTCTGGTAGTTTAATGGGTTTATCCTGGTTTGTGTTCACCGAAGGAGGACCGGTGAAAACAGCAGAGAGGCAGAGAAGAGAGGAAGGGACAAGGAGATGGCAGATGCCCCACCACATTCCTTAGCGTCCTCCTAGTGGATCAGACATTTTCATAGTTAAAAAAAATAATAATTTCACAAAACATCCAAAAATAGTATCCCACTTAGTTTCTTTATACGTAGAACATGACGCTATTTTCACATTGTTTAATCAGAATAAAACTAACATCTGACCTTTGGGTGGTAGGCATGGCAGGATTCTGGACGCCTTCGCACCTTCTGAGACTTCATCCTGTTGCACTTTACAGTTGCATTATGTTTCCAAATGTTAAGAAAAGCTACTGTATGGGTGTGCTAATAACTTAGGAGTAAGGCTCTGACAATGTAATTAAAATGAGCTGTAGACTCTGTGTTAATTAATCTTTAGCTAAACAATATGTGGGAACTAATGAAGAGACGATATCAATGCTCTTCTTTATTTTTCCCAACACAAGATACATGTGCTGAACTAAATCCTGTATTGCTGTTGTTGGTGGGTTGTCTTTTTGAGAGAAAGAAGGATATATTTAATTTCCTTTGGCTGCAGCAGGATGGGTCCGAACTGACGGGAGCAATCGCAGGTAGCTTGGGTCACAACCAAAACCAAATTACTGTCTGGAATCTGCTGCACCACAAACATCCTGAAAAAAAAATGCCAAAGAATTTTCTTAATTTATTTGGATTTTCTATTAGAAAAGATTTAAACTTCTAAGAAAATAATAAAATGAATGCACGTAAATACATTTTACATTATTAAGGTATAATTAATGATAGAAATACTTTCATTGCAATTAAAAAAATCTGCAATTAAAACACAATGTAAGCTGTAATGTTAGAAACAAAACATATCAGGTCATGTTCGATATAGAATCATTAGCCAGGTGGACAGCATTAGTGGAGCATTCCAATCTCCAAACTGGCTACATTTCTTTTCTATAAATTATAAATGAAGGCATTAAAACAGTTTTCCTCATACGCCACTAAAAAACACAAACTTCTTAGATCACTCAAAAAATGGATCCGTTAATTAAGCATCTGCACACATTTACTGATCCATGTTTATCTTTTGTAATAACAAGAGCTTTTTGAGAAAACCAGACCAGTATTATGTCTTCACCTTTGCAACAATAATGCAATATAATAAATGCCTTTGTGATGACGCACTTGATGACGCATACACTGGTAGCAAAAATAAAAACTTTTGTTCATGGTTGAAATTATTCACCCAACTTTAACCACTAGTGGCAAACCCAGAAGATAATTTTTAGAATACAGATTTGCAAAGCTGGTTGCTTCACAAAACCATACAGAAATCAGTATCTAAAAAAAAAGTTTGAAATGTTTGGTTAGACAGGAGAATAGCAGCAAAAGAAATGTACAGGCAGGTGTTTTTGAAGATGAAGAGGTGGGAAGAGTAAGGTGAGAAAGAGAAAGTGCTTGATGATACTAGAGCAGGTGAGATTTGAATAATAGAATTAAAAACATTTCTGGGGGAGCATGTCGCCAAACAAGCCTAGAAGTTCTGACTCTTGACCTCAAAGTTTTTTAGCCCTGGTATGGCACTGAATCTATGTCTGCCTCTGAACATAAGCCCCAATCCCTATATAGAGGACTATACAGTGTTTAAACCATTTTAGATGAGCGTCTGAACGTCTAGTATAAGAAAAAAGTTGAGGACTTGGAATTCCCAGAAGGCGCCTTGAAAAATAGTGTAAATCCATGGTCACTAGACATGCAGATATATGAAGAAGGCTTCATGGGATTTGTTGTGGCGGCGGGAAAGAACAAAGATGGCGCAGACAGCTTGCGGGGAGGTGGATTTATGTAACTAACGGGGTGGGAAAAGTAGTGATGCTGATCATTTGTGCTGATTGGTTTTTAAGATAGATTTTTAATTTGAGTCAATGATGTTGCCATTTTAGTGGACGCTAGTGCTTCGCACGTTTCTGGATATAAAGTTACTGCATAACATTACATGTCATTCCTGTGCTTGTAAGGAATAGAACAGTTGGAATGTTCACCTTATTTAGACGCTATAATTATTGTTTTATTATTTAGTCAATCACCAGCCTCCCAGATTCTTATGTTTGGACCAGCAGTGGCCCCTGGAAACCCTGTGGCATTTCCTGTCTGTTGGCATTTCACAATAAAAACACAGGTGAAACCTAACATCACTTTTTTTTTTCTTTTCCAGTTTTTTATTGACATTAGACTGTCACAAGGGTGGACTCACAGTGGCAGTCCATGGGAGTGGGGCTTTAATTCAAAACCTCTAGATCAGTGTTTTTCAACCCTGGTCCTCAAGGCACCCTGCTCTGCATGTTGTGGATTTTTCTGAGCTTCAGCACACCTGATTCAGATAATTGCAGTTCAGCAAAGCCTGATAATCTGCTATCAATTGATAACAGGTGTGTTAAAGCTGGGAAACATCTAGAACATGCAGGGCAGTGTGCCTTGAGGACCAGGATTGAAAAACACTGCTCTAGATTGCAAGCACAAATGCCCCAACCTGTAGGCTGCCACTCTTTTTCCCTATGAACAACATGTTTGGGTGCCTGGAGGATTAGTGAAGCTTGCCCAGGCAGAAACCAGTGGAGTCGGGTAAAGAAAGCATTATCTACGCTGCAGGAAAGACAGCGGGTCCTTATTGGGCTAAATTTATATGTTTTTTTTTTTTTAAAGCCACCTTATAATCTCTGAAAAGCATTCCCACTTCATTCTTTGTCAAAATTATTTTCTATATCTACCATTCTTAATAATAAAAAAGCTTGTCTCTGCTGCGCTTCTTCACTGTAGCACACTGCTCACAGCTATTCCCTGACAAGATTTTCACAAGTGAATGAAAACCTTTTTTTAGATTTTTTAACTTCATTCGCAGGCAATCAGATGTCGACAATTTGCCGTTCTCCTCCCTATATTGCTCAACTTCGCTCCAATTTTCTTTGCTTCAGATCCGCCCTTCTACATAGAAATAACGTGGGAATCCTTTGCTCCACCTGGTGTGAGTGTACCTAAAGGATTTATATATTTGCATTAAAATTATCAGGTATAGCCTTGTCTGTTTGCCACATGTACCAAACAAATACCTGAACACATACAGAAGCTTAATGTACGTAACCAAGAGTAAAATGCAGTCCAATGCTGTAGTGCAACTGAAACTCTGCTATATGGAAACACATTAGGCTGAAATCCTTTTTGTTTCTGACCTGGAGAAGATGCTCTGTGTTAACCTGACTATTTTTTTAACAGTGATATCTGTTTGAATAAAGACTGATAGATTTTTTATTATAGATTATCATTATATCAGTATGTTCAATGCATTATGACTGTTGTCTAAATGATCTAAAAATAAGAATTAACAGTAATGTGTACATGTTAGGACTCATACTTCTGGCAGCGTCCACACTTGATGAGACTGTTGGCTTCCCTGATAGATGAGTCATACATAAAGCCAGGATATGCAGTGTCACAGGGCTGCAGCGCCTCCACCTTCTTTTGCTTATGAGCTGAAAATACACAAAATTAGATGTAATATTTTATATTTTTTGCTTCATTCAGGTGGCATAAAATTGGAACAGGATCAACTCGGTAGTTGTCCAGAGCATCATCATAGATTCAGTCATGTTGTACTCACATGTGTGATAACCAGCTTTGGCTGAATGCATGGAGGATGGCAGTGACCACACAGAGTGATGGAATAGCGTTGAATGGGATGATGAAGGGATGACATGAAAATGAGGCAGAGGTAGATGAGTTGCATTTGAAAATAAAAGACATCAATGTTGTTTCATGATGAAACAGAGTGAAAATCATAAATTTTTCAACATCATGAACATTATCTGAAATCTAAACTCCTTAATCCAAGAGAAGAAACTTTTATCAACTGGATTGAGTTTTGGATTGAGCATTAGTTACTGAAGGACCAGTGCTTCTCCATGTTTTCCCATGCTCTTTGCATCAGGTAGTGACAGATGACCACTCATGTGGCCCCTGTTTGTGATGGTTTCTTCATTTTAAAATGGAGTGTTTACTTACCTATGCTGCATGCTGCCTAAAGAGAAGAGATTACTGCAAAATAAATGGCTGAGATAGTTGCTGCTAACTGAATTTAAACTGAATGAAACTGTATTATTTATAATTTCTCTCAGTATCCCCATACAAAATGTATATTTCTAATCATAGATTTTTAGATTAGATTAGATTTAACTTTTTTGTCATTACACAGGTACAGGTACAAGGCAGCGAAATGCAGTTTAGGTCTAACCAGAAGTGCAATAGCAGCAAGTGCAGGATAAATAATGATTCCATAAATACAGGACATGGGTTTCTACTGAATAAATATAGAGCTGAAGACCATTATAAACATAATTTTACTAATAGATTTGTCCTATGAACGTAATATATAGATAACTAGTGTTACGAACAAAATTTACAGCTGGATATGTACCGAATAAAAAATACAGGTGGATATTACTATAAATAGGGTTTTTACAGATATGTACAATAGCATAATATACCGATGATTGTCATTATAACAGAGTTTGCAGATGAATATGTACTATGAATATTGTACAGATGGCTATTACTATAGGCAGAATTATGAGCATAATATACAGATGGCTTTTACTATAAAATGAATAAATGAAGTTTGGACAGAAGCTATCTAAATTCAAGTGCAGTGGAAGGTAATTGCATATTAATTGCATCTTACAGTTAAAATACGGTATTGCAAATTTATATAAAGTAATATACATATAACATATGTATATTACTTTACCCATTGGCTTGTATTTTTTCTTACCCCCATATAAAAGTATTCTAGTTTTTAAAATGTAATATAAAACGGTTACACTTTACAAAATCCATCTTAACCATCATTTATAAATGGTCAACAGAACATTTATTGATGATTAATATTTTTGATGTTATATTGTTTTTGGTAATCATTTATAAACTGCATCTAAACCATTTATAACCGGTAAATAGATCATTTATGAAGGCATTAGACCCACTAACGTTAGGGTAAGTCCATCACGACAGGGCAAGTTTAAAAAAAAAAAAAAGGTTAGGTTCAGGTCAAATGTCTATGGGTGTTGCACTGTAAAACGTCTCACTGTAAATGTACAGTAATTCTGCTGTATTTTAAAGTGCCTTGCTGTAATTTAGACCTACATTAAATTATTGTAAATAATTATAGTTATTTACTTTAAAAGCATAAAAATTATTTTTCTGTAAATTTATGATTGTAGGTTTATGCTAATTTACTGGCAGCAGGTTCTCCAGTAGACTGCTTTATTTTTGCAGGGCTGTTTTCCAGAATAACAGTACTTTTAATAATTCTATACAGTTCATTATTGTAATACTACAAATATTTCTAAAGTTACTACAACTACAATTAGAAATGTTAATAATAAAAACATTAATATAACAAACTAGTTAAAAAAATACTCAGTTTCTTTTCAAACTTTTTTATTTAACAAAATATTGCAACACAAAAATGACATCAATAAGCATGAGCGTTTTTTTTTTCCTGTTGTGTGTCTGTGTGTGCGTACAGATCAGACACTGATCCTCTTGATGAGGATGGAGACGTGCAGATTCATATATGTTTGCATCTTCTGGACCTTTGTGTCACTTTTCTTTCTCTCTTGCCCCCTCTCTGATTTGATGTCAGTGTAGCTACTGCAAAACAATATAAAGACGAAGCAATACTTTTTTCTTTGAGGTTATCTATCTATGAATGCATGATATCAAATAATGTTCAGTACAATGTAGTGATCCAGTTGCTGTAGCGCTGTTAGAAACAGCAGAAAGCACGACCAGAGAAAGGTGAATATTGAGTAATGTACCTCCACCCTGTTACTCTCTGGTCTCTGTTTATTCACTGGATTACAGATAGGCCGTTGGTAATACAAGGTGCTGAGAAGTCACCAGCCGCCATATTGGTACTCCCTAGTTAGACCAGTCAGAATGTAAAAAATACGTGCGCTACAGCATCGAACAACAATGATGTTCTCATTTTCAGGGGGGCCTAAAACTTTGGAAACAAAGATAAAGTCAACACTTTGCCTCACACTTTCTGTTTCCTACCATCAGTAGACTATTGTAATTTATGGTATAAAATAGGCACATCACATTGCATTTTTAGTATGAAGTCCATGAATTCTATAAATCATGCAATATAACATATACAAATCCATCACAACAAAATTAGTGTGTTAATGGAGCATAATAATACTGTAGTCATATATTAAGAATATTACACTCTCCCACACACACACACACTATCTGATGATGTGCCACAAGTGTTAAAAGGATGATGTACAGATAATATACATGTATTGATAACATTTTTATGGTAATTAGATTACAGCCTAACCCTGACCCTAAAAGCCTCAAACTCACTTGCTAATTTTAGCCAAGTTTAGCACATTGCCTTTTTTGTGGTTCTTTTGATATGGAAATCGACACCTGTTACTTATCCAACCACTTTTTTTTTTTGTTGGTAAAACATTAAACTAAGACCAAATACTAAGACATTCTAACTTTAGCTTATAGCGTGCAACAAAAACTTTTTTTTTTTTTTTTTTTTTACAAATTTGTTGTAGCACAAATGGTGTAAAAATCTTAAGAAAAAAATCCCCTCTCTAAATAAGGAAAAATGTAAATTATGTTACCTTACTCTGTGGACAGTGTGGAGAAAGTCACGCATCTTCAAATATCCATAAAGTTGGCTTATCACATTTTCATGTGAGTGATGGCCCGGAGTTGCCAGTTGTCCGGCACTTTTCTTTCACCTTCCCATCATGCTTAGCAGTTTAAAGTAAAATTTACAGTATTCTTGTAGACCAAAAAAAAATAAATTTTTTTTGCCGAAATCGTGTTATTTTTCTTTCAAAATGCATTGCAGGTTACAGTATGACACTGTATGGCAGCAATACAGTAAAATACTCTTAAGATTTAAGTGTAAATTTATATTAAAGGTTTACAGTGAAGTTTTAGGGCAATATGATTACTTTTTATAAATAGTTTAGATGCAGTTTATAAATGATAATCAAAGATTATTCATTGATAAATAGTCTCTTTAACATTTATAAATGATGTTTTTTCTAAAGTGTCACCAAATAAAATTAACTTTAGGATGCAAGAGACAAGAAAACAACAGTACAGGTTATGAAAAGCATATATATGCCAGCAGTTAAATGTTGCTTCCCATAATGAACCAAGGAATGTGATTTGTCCTGTATGTTCATAAATTTCCAACACACCTCCGTCACACACACTTAATCTAACAGAAATTAACACATTAAAATGCAAGAACTATAAGAGCCAACTAAATTGTCGTGGAACTAAGGAGGACCTCCTCAGCTCTGCATCAGCTACTGTCATAGTTATCTTGAAATGGGCTTCCCACGCCTACACTGCTGTTTGCCACCAGTATTGCACCCAATTCTCCATGATTTCCTCAGAAAAAAAAGGTTTTAAAAAACTGATCTGAGAGAGATGGGTTTAATCCCTGTCTTAACAGGGTCAGTGAGAGGAGTAGGAGGAAAATTATAACATTTATTGACTGTCTGTGAGTGTTTACAGCGGTGTACAGCGGGCTGTTCATGGTTCAGGAGTCAGCAGGACAGAAATAAAAGAGACCTATTGGAATGCAGAACCTCCAGTATTAGTCCTTCACACCCCAACCATATCCTTGAATTGATATGGTATGGGATATTGTGATTATTGTGGTTCTAATTTTATGCAGATTTTATCATCATTTATTTAACAATCTGTATATTAGCCAATATAAATGGCCATTCAAAGGGTAAAGTATCTTAAGTAAGAGTAAGAAAATAGTATAAGCAAAATATTTTTTTTTTAACATTTACTAATTTTCAAAAGTGTTTTTAGCAGCTTCTTTGTATTTCATTTTTAGCCTTAGTCTGCCCAATATTCAGGCCATGGGTTTCCCTTATTGTTATTTATTAAAGGTATGGTGGAGGATTTTTGCAAATATTTGAATAGACACGCCCCCTTCACTTTGAAAAGAAATGCACATGCACAGTCCTGTACCTGCTCCCAAGATGGAACAGCTAATAAGCGCGTGTGAGAGCTTACTTTCCAAAAGTAGATTTACAATTTTTCCACTATGTCAGTCGCACCACCGGTAAGTGAAAATTAGAGGAGCACATAGGATGGCCTTGCGTCAACATATCACCAAAATGATTGACAATTAGGAGGACCACTTATTTTGATGATCCACCCGGAAAAAAGAACACCCTCCACTATACTTTTAAAGGTGGCAACCCTAGTCTACTGGTGGCAAAAAAGTAGCTACTCCTTTATTTTGTCGATATCTAGAGTCATAGCTATAACTAACGTTTAAGAAACAAATAGAACTTTGACAAGAAATGCTGGGTGAGGACCCAAATTTAACTTGCCACCATGGAAAGTTTACAGGAGCTTTTTTACCTCTTTTTTTTTTTTTTTTAACCTTCCTAGGTAAAAACTCTAAAACTTAATCATGGAGAAATGCAGCAAATATTGCCAATTTGGGACTAAATCTAAAGAGGATACAAACCCCTGCTGTATTTGCAATCTGAAATACAGAGCGTGGACCCTTCATATTGCAGTTTAGAGACCGAGCCATAGGGTTCTACTCCACTACAGATAAAAACCATCAGCTCTGAATTTCAGTGCAGTCTTTTTCATAATGCTTTCTGCAAACAATTATTGATCTCTTAACTTTCATCTATAAATATTTTTCTAATATAAATATTCTATTCTTATTCTAGTTTGATCCTTTTTTATAGGTGCTTCAAAGAAAATAATGAGAGATTTAAAATCCTCTAATATTCCTCTTACCATCCACAAAATAATCCGAATGCCAAAGACCACAGAGGTTAAAGTCGAGCAGAAACCTAAATGGAAAAGCAAAGATATGCCTTAAAAAAACACTTTGGTTACACAAAGAAACAAAAAACGAAGAAATAATTGCCTTTCTGAGCCAAAAAGTTCTACATATCTTTAGTAGCAATATTTCTGTAATAATTAGCCATAAAATACGCTCTTCCATTCTTAATTACTTACATCACAGCATTGGAGAAAAGCCATCTCATCAGAGCCAAAATCGTGTAGAATGGCTACAGAAAGGAAAAGATTTGCTAGAATTCAAAGAAAATGCTTCAAGCAAACAATGAAAAAATTATGTATTTCATGTTTCAGTGACGTTTGAGCAGCATTACAGTGAGTAGGTGCTGAGAGGCAACGATGAGACTTACACTTAGCAGAGGTCGAGCACTGCTTGTATGATGGTGGCTGCTTTTGCACATAGCCTGATAGTCAAACAAAGACACTCTGAAAAAAAATAATACAAATAAACAATTGATATTCTGTTTGGTTGCAGGAGAAGACAGAATAATTCAACTAAAGTGTGTCTGAGGAAGTCCTACTTTTTAAACATTCCCATTTTGATCAATGAAGCCATGACAGACCCATCCACTTCACCAAAGAAACGCCCTACCTGCAAAGATCATGGTGTGGTATTAAACTTCCGCAAAGGAGACATATGGCACAGTTCTGTTCAAATGTAAATATTTATATCACATTACAAACAAGGAAGCTTTTGATGTGTTCATCTAGATGTCCTGATTTCTGTCAGGATTCCTTTCACAATGACGCATAAATATGGGACAGCATACAAATATTCACTGGCCTTTTATGTGTGCAAAATAAGCAATATGACTTTGGTTCTTACCAGGGCACTCAATTGCACTCGCAATTTGAATTTTACAAAAAGCAATATTTAACTCACAGACGCCCTCAGTTTTGACCACATAACGTTTAACAGGTGTGAGACCCTGGCTTTCTCATTCCAGCCCTTTTGGTGGCAATAATATGCTTTAAACAGGTTTCCCACCACACAAAAGGGAAGAGAGAGTTGCAGCTAGAATGCAGATCCATGCATGCGAGTAGAGTTAAACACTTTTCCACACAATATTATCATTGACGTCCTGTCACAAAGGACTCTGTTAGTTTTCCTGATGATGAGAAAAATGAAACCCTGTAGTGAAACACATAAATCTTTGTTCCTAGTGCAAATGAAAGTTAAAAAAAATCACAATATTTGTTGAAAATAAAAAATCAATCTTGATCTTTTGGCTAAATCCTTTAGCCCTAGTTTTTACATTGCTCATGTAATCAGCAGTCTAAACAGCAATCACTGCATAAAAAACATGCTAAGAAAGACACCATAAAACAAGAAAAAAAACAGTTTGTGCAAGTCTGCAAGTAGACCAATTTTTTAAAGAAGGAAGGCAGGTTGTAATTGTGAAAAGGTCCTATAAGTCTATAAGTTTCCAGCCAATTAACCTCTCTACACACCATTTTTTGTTCTTATTGCAGATTACATTTGTGATGTTTTGTAGATGAATTGGAAGGAAGGGTGGGTGGGTGGATATGCAGAAAATGCAAATGGATATATATATAGAAAAATGCAAATGCAGTTCTTGTGGAAAGTTGTACTTAGGATTTCTTTCCTAAGAACCAGAATTGGTCCACATTCGTCACAGGATTGTTAGGGATGGTAATGCTAAGCAGTGTGGAATGCAATCCTCTGAAGTCCACCTCATCTTCAAAACTTTTTGTGGGTTTACCTCCCTGTAGTTCTGAGCTCCCCCATGATGCTGGCATATCTTGTGTTTGTGTTCAGATTCATTAAGTTTCACTGTTCAGACCAATGACAGTTGTGTTATCTGCAAACTTCAGGAATTTCCCACATGGGTTCACCTTGGTACAGCCATTTGTGTACAGGGAGAAGAGGAGTGAAGCTGGAAGCCACCACTGGGACCCTTCATTGTTGATGGTTATTGAGCGACAGAAGATGCTGCTCAGCCTCCCTTACTGCTCATGATCAGTCAGAAGACTGAGGATTCACTGACAGATAGAGGCTAATGTGAGCCAAATGACATTTTAGTGACAATGTCACTAAAAAACCCTCATATATCCTTTCTGGGTCAGATTATACACAAAGATCATACATTCTCACATCAGAGTTAATTTTTTAAGGATCACATTTGGTGAAAAAGTCCAGTTTCAATCTCGGTATTACAGACCGTTTATAAATGTGATCCTGAGTCATCATACTTCTACTTTATGGTACTTCACAAAAAAAAAAAAATTATATCTATTGAATCTATTTAAGCATCTTTAGATATTGTGTTACTTAAATAGTTTTCACAGGTTTCTGAATTCTTTTTTTGTTGCTATGTTCTGTGACTATATTGCTATTGTATTTTCTGCATGGATCATTTTGTATCAGTTTTGTGAATAAATTATTCTAGAGTTTAGACTTCTTACTACACTGAAAAAGTGACCTTTTTGTGCAGTAAACTCTTGTTTTTCAAGGCTGCACTTTAAAAAATGAAATTGTCTGGAGCTGTTTTAAACTAAATTTATTTTTGTATACAAAATGACAAAAATAAATCTGTCTAAATCTAAGTCTATTAGAGTGTTCGTCATAATTTCTGCTTTGTATTTTGAAGCTCCAGTGAGAACTAGAGTTTCTGAAGTAAAATGAAACCTTTTTTGTGTAATACATGCATTTTGGGGAAAGAGTAAGTTTTACTTAGATTTCCTTATACTATTTAAATGTTTAATAGTAGTATGTACATAAACCTACAAATACTACATAAACTTTACTCTAAATATACATTATATACAGCAAATACACAGGTGTATCTCATATCTGAATATTAAACAAAAGTTTATTTCATGAACTAAATTCATTAAAATATGTTATATAGGTTAATAGATACTCATACCAATAATGCCTAATAGATCTTCATATTTATTATGACAACTGTCTGCTTGCACTTAAAGACACTTTTTTTCTTAAAATATTTGAATATTATATTAGACCAGTAAAAAATTATATAGACATACATCCTAATACCTGTTTAAAAGTTTTTAGAAAATGATCCTGTCAAGATGTGTGTTTAAAATGTTCTACCTTATGTATAATTTTACTGTGGCCCTTCAGAAAAAACAGTTTTAAGACACAATATTTAATATTTTTGCTGCACAAACTCATAACTATCGACAATACATTTTTTGCTGGGTCACCCTCCAACTACATTTGTCTCAGCCTTCATTTATTCATTGTACAAGCTGCACCTTCTCACATCAGTGGTGTAACCCTTTGATGTTTCCACAAGTGACGGCATAACCTGGAGCACAGCAAACTTTTAAAATCATATTTGCTTCCTAATGTCGGAGGGAATGCAATATTTTCACAAGAAAATAATCCTTTTCTGCAAAAGATTCTCAATGAATTTTCAGATCAGATCATTTAGGTTATTATTATTAGGGGGGCCACATGCCGAAGGCATGGCCCACCTATTACTATTGCACATATTTATTCTGCGTATTATTATTATTAGGGGGGCCACATGCCGAAGGCATGGCCCACCTATTACTATTGCACATATTTATTCCGCGTATTATTATTATTAGGGGGGCCACATGCCGAAGGCATGGCCCACCTANAGTTTAAAAGACTTAAGAAAATTTAAATTGTGCTAAATTAGCTGATAAAACAGTCTATGGATGATATTCATTAAATTTCAAAGTAACAGGACTAACTAATATGTAAAAGAAAGGTATAAATTGCAGATTGGACCTGAATTCCGTAAGCTCAAGAGTTTGCATAATTAGCAAATTCATTGACCTTGATAATAATCTCAAGCAAATGTAGATATTTTCACTTAGAATGTCTTTAGTAGTCCCATGCCTTTATGACTTTACTTTAGTCTCTTTTTTTTTATTTTTAGAGTTTTTAGTAAGCAGAGTTGGGTAATCTAGTCCTGGATCTATTACACTTTAAGGGTTTCTGCAAAGTGGCACATCCCCTTAATGCTCTACCAAGGTCAGATGAAACTAGGAGGTGCAACAGCTGCTGTAATCAGTTTAATGCAGCAATACCGCGTGGGTTAAATCCTAATCTGCTCTTAAATCCTATGAGCCATACAGATGTTTTTTTTTTTTTTTATGAGATTATGAATTGATCCAAAGGGTCAAATAACACGGAAATATCCTTTTCATAGAAACACAAGTCTGACAAACGGTTAAAATCAAGTAAAAAAGTCAGTTTCTTGTGATTGGTAAGAAAACATAGAAATTCAGGTAGGCAAGAGGAATAAACTTGCTTGAAAACAGATTTGGACAACTGAGTTTATATTATTGGTGATTTCTCATTGAATATCAGGGAGGTTAAACTTCTACTGTAAATTATTGGTAGAATATGCATTGTCAACCCCCCCCCCCCCCCCCTCCACTCTGCAGCAGCAGTTTTGCATATTCAGACATCATGGAAGTTATTTAAATTTTTAGTCTTAAAATACTTATATTTACAATTTCTCAATGACCTAAAATCCTGCATGACTTTGAACTTTCTGCTTTGAATTCAGACAAGACAGAAGGTATTGTGTTTGGACCAGAGTATTTGAAAAAGAAGCTGCTTGTTAATTTGCTGCATCTGGATGACATCATAGTGGCCTCCGATAACAACGTAAAACTGTGTTGTGATACTTTTTTAATAAGGGTATGTCATTTAAATCGCAAATTTAAAGGGTTTCTAAAGTTTCTTACTTTCATCCCTGAAATATTCCAAAAAATGGATATATCTCAATCAGGAATGACACTAAAAAAAGCCTATGCATTTGTTATTTGATGGTTGTTCCAAGAATTTTTAAAAGTAGACTAAGAAGCAGATCTGTTCTTTCCTGTGGAATGTTATTCTATGATGCAGACACCCTGTTGACTGTTAAGACTAGGTTGAAAATTGTTTTGATGATGCTTATATATTTGCATTATTTTTTAGTTCTACTTCTAACTCTATGTTCTGTATTTTTCCTTGTTGTAGTTACTACTGTACATCAGGCCTAGAGCTCTGTTTAGCTGTATAACCAACTGAGATAATATTGGGCCTGTTTTGCAGTGTTTGTTCCCGTTTCTGTTATAAACATGGCTAGGGGCTTAGCTTTTACTTTGACTAATTATATGTACTTTATTTTATCCTTTTAATATAAAAAACAGCTCAGAGCTCATCTGTTCAACTGTTTATTTTCTAGACAGAGCCACCTATGGGGCTAGTTTAGTATTGTCCTTTTCCTCTTGAACCCCATAGTCTGTCTAAGCAGAAGGGATTGCTGCAGAGTTGACAGTACAATACGATTGTCAGCTTTTGCTGCATACAGTACACATCAAGGAGGAGTGGCTCCAGTACATTCAATGACTCAGTGCAATCAGGAGGGCTTCCTTTGACAGAAAACTGCTAAGTAAAATGTGTGCATGATTTCATTGAATTGTTGCTGTAAATTTCCTTGGGAATACGTGTTGTGAATTGGCCTTTTATAAATAAACTGATTTAAATTCAGTTGAGTCATACTTCAAATAATTATTTTATTATGTTTCAAAATGAATCCCATTACATAGAAAAACAGATGCACACCTTTCCTTTATTTTTCACTCTTACTTAGAAAAGTTATATTAGATGTTTTTACTTTGCTGTAGGTTATTTTCTTTAACTACCATGGTTTTTATAGAAATACTTTACAACTTCCTTTGTATTGCCCAAAGATAGACTGGGATTTCAAAAAGGTCATAATAGTTGAAGAAACTTACATCATTCCTCTCTTTGGACAGTAGGATGAAACCATTGTTGTCGACTAGGAAACAACTCAGGTCCTATTAAGTAATAAGCAAAATCAATTAATATACTTATTTGTTTTTAAAGCCAAAATGATGAGCTTTGCAAAGAGAAACACTTTCAATTATATACTCACATTACTTTCACAACTCAGAGGACACACACCCTCGACATTTGAGCACTAAAAGGATAAGAAAATAAGTTACTGGGAACTATATTTGAAATTGAAAAAAATATATAAATTCAAAACAAATAATAAATTTTTTTCACTCACATCTGTGTCGCTGGGCTAGAATAAACAGACAGGAAAGTGATACACAGAAAAGAATAGTTAATAGCAGTTATGACTCAAAAATGAAACAGTACAGATAGGGAGAAAATGGAAAAAATATAGATTTTAATAAATTAAGATGGCAGCATGAACAAATATGACTCAATTGATTGATCATCTTCATGTTAATTTATAACCTACATGTGAGGAATGCAGGAGGCTGAAATCCAAAACTCCAGAAAGGAGACATCCCACAGTTTATGTCCATCATAAATAGCCTTATCTACAAGCTTAGTTCTTTTGGTATTTGTGACCAAAATGGGTTGGCCAATCACGCTGCAATAGTTTAAGGTCGGACATATACCTGTGATGAAAGCAAAAGCTGCTGTGCCACCAGCAGAACCAACATAAACATGGCAGTTCAGGAGGACATATGCATAGCTGCTGCTACCACATGTGGCTTCTAATAGCATCTTCTGCCATCTCACTTGTTACTGTGGTTAACTTTCGGAGGCAGGTAATATGTATCTGTTAGAAATATTTTATTTATACTCCGTTTGTGTTTCATAGGTTGTGTACTAATGAACTATTATGTTGTATAATGTGTGATTCATCGCTTATCAACTTTTGCTAAAGATTGTTCCAGATAAAGGTCATGCAACGGACAGGTTGTAAAAGAGGCCTGAACATCCTCTATCACATGTTTATTCTAAACATGTGTTCTTGGAACAAATTTAATTGTAAAAAAACAACAAAACACATGCTTTATTTTCACATATGTGCTGAGGTTCAAAGTAAGACCATTTTGTTCCCTTTCCCTTAGTACAACCTCAGCTTGTGTAATTAGGGACATCTCCTGACTTTAATAAATAGCGAGGAGAAAGCTGAAGACCAGCAGAGTGGGGTGGAGACCTGTACTGTGCGGTCCCTTCCTACTCTCCTTTCGAGTAAAACTAAATTAATTGTCTATGTGCCTTTTTCCTTCCCAGTATGTATGTATGATGTTTTAGGTGCTTAGACCTGACAGTATCGCTTTGGCCAATTACTTTTGAATGTTCCAAAACAGATGAAATCAGGAAAAGGACTTGTGATTAAATGTATGAGGTAGGGAGCAGAAATTGGTTGTTTAATGGGTACAAAATACAACTAGACAAATGTTATTGACAATAAAATTGATGGTGTCTGAGTCTTTGGCACGCAGACCTTGGTGGGAAACATTGGCACTGAGCTTTGCTTTGGTTGGCAAGAACAGGAGTACAGAACAGGGATGTTTCCCCCAGCTTGGATAACACAGGTTGCATGAACCTGTCCAGGATGAGCAAGCATGAAGCGACAGTGGAGAGGAAGAACTCCCCTTTGGGAAGAAACCTCTGGCAGAACCAGGCTCAATATGGCGGCCTTCTGCCGGACGGGTTTAGATGGGACAGGTAATGAAGTAAGATACCAGGAGGAACGACAACCTTGATGAAGCTTTAGTTAAGATGGTGGAGGAGGGGATGGAGGCGGGTTGAATCAGGGTAGTCTGAGTCAAAGTCTGACGTACCGCAACAACTGCATACGCTTCAGTAGCAGACTGAGATGCTTATTTGGAGAACCTTTTAAGAGAAACTCTGGATGCTGATTGGCTTCAGTGGAAGCGTGGTTCAAAGCTGATTGGCCTATTATGGTAGGTAATGATTAATCAGTTTCTTCAATTGAACTTCCACCTAGGCTCCATTAATCACAACGGCTTTCTTGTAGAGCAAAATCTACTTATCTGCCACAAAACCATGTCGAAATTAACAGTCTTTAGATTGCTTTGCACTGAGCCAAAGGATCAGAAACCGAAAAGTTATTTTGGAAATGTTATTTATTAACAAATAGTATTGCTGTGGCTGCACAGTGAAATACAGTAGTGAGTAAGACTAAGACTGCTGCCTTGTAGAAAAAGGTTCCAGGTTTGATTCCCGACCCTGCATGGAGTTTGCATGTTCTCCCTGTGCATGCGTGGGTTCTCTCCAGGTACTCCGGCTTCTTCCCGCAGTCCAAAAACATGACTGATGGGTTCATTGGCTTCTCTAAAATTCTCCTTAGGTGTGAGTGTGTCCGTGAATGGTTGTTTGTCTCTGTCTTGCCCTGCGATGGACTGCCAACCTGTCTGGCGACCTGTTCATGGTGTACCCCGCTTTCACCCATTGACAGGTGATAGGCACCAGCACCCCTGGCGACCCCACCAGCGATAAGTGTGACAGAAAATGGCTGAATGGATGGATTACTTGCTGTGTCATTAAATGTAACATAATTAATAGTTATACGTTGTACAACAGCCTTATTATTTAAGAATATGTTTTTTAGTGTATATTTACATAATGAAAATCTTCCTTTCCTTTCAAATGACTGTGGATGATGAAACAAAATGTTAAACAAAGCAAGCAGGCTCAAAGGTGGTGTGAAATATAGATGCACTTTGGAAAAATATGGCCTCTAATAAAAAGAACAGATCTATACATTGGCTTCTCGTAATGAATAAATGAATAAATACTCCACAAAGTCAGTAGATGCATTACCTCTTTGGCGATGCTCCAAAACCTGTTTTCCAACCAATCCAGGGACATCTGTAATCCGATTGCTAAAAGTAGGAGACACAAATATGTACACAGTATAAAAACAAATGCAGGATAAAACTGAATCTGGTTAGGTAACATGGCCTTGTAAAAAATCACCTGGGTCTGACCTAGAATGTGTTTAGGAGGATGGACCTTCATGCTGCTTAAATACATACATAAGGGTTCAAACTAAAGATTACTCTTATGCGAGCCAAGATAATTAACAGACTCCTTGAAAAGTGACAAAATGCCCTCAGAAAGCTTCCAACTTAAGCCTGTTTTGTGGTTGCATAAGTAACACTGAACGAGTGTTATTATCAACGTATGAGAGACGCAATGAAATGTAACTGTTTTTAAAAAATAATATAAATAAGAAAGCTTACTGTTTATTTTAAATATGATGTAAACATTTCCTTGTATTGTCATTACAATGTTTTCTCTGTTTTGTTAACAAAATACTTCATTAATTTATTAACATATTCATTAAATTTAGGTCTGAATTGGCATGGCATTACAAGGCAATTAAAACCCTGTGAATTTAGATCTACTGTGATGATAAAGAGGCAAATTTAAGAAATAAAGCCAAAATTGACATAGAAATTTCTATGGTGAGATCAGAAAAATGGTCCTCACTCTTATGCCAAGACAGGAGCAAACACATCTGCAGCACCACTGTGTGCTTTCTCTGGACCCGTTTTTTTTTTTTTTTTGCTTTCTCTTCCAGTCCTCTCTTCTATAATCTGACAGGGCAGATGTTAGAGTATGAGGTCTTAACTATCCCAGGAACCTGAGTGAGCTAGTGATAATCATGAAGATGAGGTAATGATTAGTGGTGGCTGATTCGGACTGCAATCAAAGTTCAGCATTGGATTTCTGCTTCAAGGGAAGGAATAAGCTTTTTTTTTTTGAGGCAATGCTCTCTAATTGCCCCGAAGATTTTTTAAGACCAAAACACTTTTCCTAAGAGCGGCTCCTTCTGGGAAAGGCACAGATGAAAAGGAAAGTTTATCTCGCACTGTGACTCTTTGGAGATGTGGTGAGTTATTTCTTTGTTTGCGTGGATAATATATTTATAGTTGCCCAACTAGAAAAAATAAAATAATGCTGATTCATATAGCTCCAAACCACCGTTGATATTAATAAATGTTGCAGCCCTGTGACAAATGCTATTATTTTAAATTTAATTATCTACTAAAGTTAAGCATATTCATTTGTTTGGAGTGCAGAGGGAAAACTTAAGAGGTTGTGCAGAAGACCTTTGTGTCAGGAATAAGGATATGCATGGATATGCTAAACGTTTACCATTTTTAATGGTCTATAACAGTGCAGCAAAATGAACCTCAGAAAACACATATAACAGATATTTATAAACATTCTCTAGTAATCCTTGTGATATCCCTGATATTAATTTTGGTGATTCATTTAAAGACAAGCACAGTAATAATACTGTGTATGTGAGTATATCTGTGTAAATGCATTTGCATACATTTATCTTTGCCTCAGTCTGAGTACTGCAGTATGGTAAAACTGCAGACCTTTTATTTTGTTATGTTATTCTAAAACTGTTTGTTTGAAAATAATTTTTACCTAATGGCGGTGGGGTTGCTCTGGTTAGAGTGGGCTGCTTTTCAGTGACCAGGGACCCTTATGTATAAATAAGTGTGTAGTGGTAGTGAGAAATTCTAAAATTTGGAGTGCACAAGCAGTTAAGGGACATAGTGACAGGATCACACTTTCACAAATGTAAGAACATGAACATTTATAACCATACTTCTAATCATACAATACATGAAGTTCTATTAATGTTTAAAATGATTCAAAGGTAACAACAAATCAACTAGAATCCATCTATTGTGCACATTAAGCAGCAACCTGTTTGTAAACTGTTATCAATGCACTTATGAAATACTTATAATACTTATAAATAAACTGATAAGTGAAATTTGCATACAACAAGGCTAAAAAATACTGCAACTCCAAAGATTCTTCAGGATGAGTGCACAAATTGTATTCTTTGAATCACTTATCAAAAAAAATATTTCAAGGTTTTTCTCCAATTGAATTGAAATAACAAATTGTACATATCAAAAAAATATCACATTATATTTCTGTCAGACATACAAATCCCTGTTATATTATCAAATTTTCTTCAATTCAGTTATAAAGATTCTATTCTAAAAGTCAAAAATACAAAATTGAATATGCTGCTGTGATCGCAAAAGAATTTTGAAAGACCTTGATTGGTCTTTAACTTTTCTCCAAATGCAAATCAGTTTTTGATCTGAAGGTAAGCTGCATGTCCTTACAGCATACTATATGTCATTGCCTTAAGCAGACTTAGTATGCACTGTAAACACTGTATAAACTAAATTGAAGTATGTATTCAGTTTATTCTTCATATACTTTTTTGGTCTTTTTGTCAACTTGGGGTTTTAATTTTTTGTTTCTTCTTTATAAAGTAAAAAAAAAAAGATACAAGATTTTCATTCTGATTTTCCATGTTTGGTGATTGCTTTCTTATTATCACTGCCTGCTTGACTAAAGGCAGTGCAGTTACCTTTACAACTTCAACAAACTGTTATATAGAAATATTTGAGAGCCTTTAAAAACCAATTAAAGTAAAAGGAACACAAATTCTCCAGGACTTCTGCTCCCCAGTTGACTGCACCTCCTTTGTCTGGTAAGCAGGTTTCAGGGGGCCCAGCAGAGGGGGCTGTAATGCCCTTAAAATGCTTCAGCACCAGATGTCCAAACTAGGATTTAATGAACACAGATGCCAGAGGTACAGGCATACATTCATTTAATCCTGTGAGGGTGTGTACTTTAGAAAGCGGGATCACAGTGACCTAAGCACACTTTGCTAATATTCTCAAAATTCTAATTTGCTATAATATTACCTTCAGTTAACATTGGGTTATTTAGTTAGGAAAATTACAGAAGACATTATTCCAGATGTGGCATCTTTTCCACCACCACCCTTAAATATATTGAGCTCATACTGTGACTGATGTTTTTAGAAATAGTCTTTATGCTGGATTTTATACACTTGAAGCCATGGATTATGTGACCGGGGGGACTAAATGCAATAATGTTTGTTGTCCCGCAAATAACTGCTTTTTTTTTTTTTTAACTATTGTCTATACTTAAAACCCACTACTGCCCATCTTTCATCTCCATAATGTTTTAGCAAAATAACTCTTTTTAAATACTTCTGTTTTCTCTTTTTGAGGTCGATCGATGAAACGGATTGTCAGCACAAAGGAAAATTCTTCCAAATGTAAACTTGCACTTATTGGAAGGGTTGATATTGAAGACATGGGGAATGAAGGGAATTGCAGTGGCAGTTTAGGTACGTTTAAAAAAAGAAATACTTTACCCTTTAAAAATACAACCACTTAGGCTGTACAGTTCTAGACAATGAGCTTGTAAATATCTTTGTACTAAGGAGTGTTTCTAAAAATGCTATTCTTTTCATTTTCATGTCATGTAGTGCATAAAGCCTCCACCCGAGGAGTTCTGGTTCTGCTAGGGCTTCTGAGCACTGTTGGCGGTTGTCCTTCTATCTGCAGATGCTACAGTAATGCAACTGACTGCTCCGCTCTAGGCCTTGTCTCTTTGAGGCCCATCCAAGAGCAGCTGGGTCTGGGCTCACTTGTGCTCAATCTTTCTCAGAACAACCTGTCCTCCTTTGGAAGTGGTGACATTTTAAATCTAAGCAATGTGGAGTTCCTAGATCTGTCCCATAATAATTTTTACAACTTGAAAACCAGAGCTTTTCAAGGCCTTAGCAGCCTGCAATGGTTAAATCTCTCTTCCAACTACCTTGGAATTGGTGAAGCCAGCCAGGATCTCCCTAATAACACGGTGACTCGCAAAGACCTGAATGGAAGTCTTGGAACAGTCGGTTTATGGAAGGAGGTCTTCCAGGGATTGTGGCAGCTGCATGGGCTTGATCTGTCCTCTAATGGCCTCCTATTACTGCACAAGGGCTTATTGGATGGGCTTCAGAAGCTCACATGGCTGTCCTTAGCTTACAACCGGCTAGTGACCCTGGACCGAGCCACATTTGACCCCCTAATGAACCTCCAGAAGCTCCAGCTGGCCGGAAACCCCTGGGAATGTGACTGCAAACTGATGGATTTCAAACACTGGGTGGAGTGGTTAATTTACAGGGGTAAGCAGGCCTGTTAAAATATCTCAAAAACATATGTTTAGTTTAATACACACACTTGAAAAGACTGTATTGTGTTTGGTTCTAATTTTGTTTTACAGAAGGACAGATAGATCGGATGGAGTGCAGTTTCCCCAGGAACCTGAAAGGCAGGGAGATCCGCAGCATCCCAGCTGAGATGTTCAGCTACTGTCAGAGTTCAACGAAGGAAGATCCATTGAATCGTGCCACTAAGCCTCTCTGCCCACTTGGGCGGGTCAGTAGCATGGATAACTGTGTGCGGCAGCGACATAGGTCAGTCAGTGTACGCAGGGCACACGGCACACAAATAGTAGCAGCAGTGGTGTGTGGCACAGTGTGCATCATGATGGTTGTTGCTGCAACCTATGGCTGTGTCTATGCCTCATTTATGGTAAGGTATCATAGAAAGAGGAAGAGCTGTGGGCAGTCTCTGATAGCCAAGTATGGAGCTGAGACAGAGCAGGATGATCAACAAGCTTCCTCTCTTATCAAATCAGAGGAGGGAACTAAAGAAGGCGATGACTTTGAGCACGGCTATCGAATCAGCAGCTTCTAAAAAACACCACAGTTCACCCACCGTGCTAAAAATCTGGCTACGGACTAATCATGAATTTGCAGTTTAGACTGGATGAGTCTGAAAAGCTGTGGCATATTTAAACTGCATAGGTGCTCTGTATATGAAACCTCACTGTAGCCACTGATCTGCAATTCTACAGTTTCAAGTACGCTTATTTATTTATTTTTTTGTGTGAAAACTCTTTATCTTATAAGTTTGAGGATAAGAAGCACAAAACTTTAATTAATGTAGATTAATGTAGAGTAATTTTATTTTTTCCAGAGCACAGCCATTTTGTTCAGAAAAACTGCATCTTAACAGTCCTGTACAGGAGAAGATCCTAACTACAAAACAATCCATCCAGGTATATATATCTTTTATCAGAGCATTTCAAATAATAATTCTAAATATAAACAGACAATAAAAACATGTGAGGATTTATATCTAAATTGTAGAGCTATTTTTTATCCCGTTTTCTATTTTCAGAGGTAAATTGCTTGTGAATATCACATAACTTAAAGGGTTAAAAATAGAGGTTACAGTGGTTGACTTAAAACAATCATATTAAATTGTCTTAAGCTTATTTCAGTTTCACTGGATCTCTGTGATTAACATTCAATGTGAAGTCCTGATGATTGAATGTTAAAATCAAACAAAAACAAGGTACTGGTTCAAAAATATGCAAACTTTTGCTACCAGATTATTGCCTTTTTTAACGTGTTTCATAAATAATTCATTTTTCATTTGAATCGTACAGAAAACGTGCCAAATAAGGATTTTTTTAAGATGTCTTTTTTCAAATATCCTTAAAAAAATATGGCAATTGGACACCGATACCTGGATAGGACATTGGCTCCAATATTGATGAAGTAGCTGGATTGGATATTGGTGGTTTGTTATCAGATATCGGAGAGCCAATCCAATGAATTGTTATTTCTTTCTTTTTGCTCTTTGTTTGTTGATAAAAAAAAAAATAAAGTACATTTATATCTGGCTTAATTTCTTAGCTTTTATAATAATAATAATAATGTTCATATCAAGGCTAAAGCCCTCACTCACATGGCAAGATATATGTTTCATTCAATTGTTAATATATGGTTAATTTGATTGTTGAATCGGATTGGTATCGGATATCAGCCGATACACTCAGCCCAGGTATCGGATTGTATCGGTGCATTTCTACTTATCCCATCTGGACAGAGGGGGTTTATATTGTAATCCACTATCAACAAAATCCTTTAAATCCTACCAGTTAATACACTGTTGTTGCATTAAGATGTGTCGGAATGTGTTGTGTGTAAACAAGAACACATTAGGATCATCTGGAGATTTCAGTGGCATCCTGATAATTTTAAATTATGTCTCTAAACAGAACAACCTCGGAAAAGAGCTACCTTTAAAATAATTGAGCATGGACACAATATCTAAATGTAGTTTTAAATTTTTTTCAAACCTTATGATCCTGGACCACTTTTGGGTGTCGACACATGAAACATTCAACAGGCAAACACCAGGAAAGGGGCGACTGTTTTAAAAGATACCAAACTACAGCATTGAAACTGACCTCCAGCCATTGCCGTTCTTTCTCCAGATGATACCGTAACCGCTGTTGTTGCTATGACGTACTTCACTCCTGTTAGGGGAACATTTATTTTCAATAAACTGTCATATGTACTCAATGATTCTTTTCAAATTATAAAGACTCCAAATACTTTTGGATAAAGAAAATATGAGCACAGACCTTTGTCATTAACAGGGTAGTAGTAAAACCTGCCGGGAGTGTTTTCCACGGCTAAGCGGTACCAGAGAGGGAAATGATCAATAGTAAACAGGTTATCTTTGTCTGATGGAGTCAGGAACTTCCTGTAAGAGACAATTTCAACCTTTGATCAGATTTATTTAAAATATTCATTTTGAAAAAAGTCAACTTAAGGAGCAGTAATGAGCTGTGATACAGCTCACCCAATCTACAGATATATTTTATTTCCCTTTTTTTCTTCTACAGGGACATCTTAGGAAATTGGAATTTGTTTGTTGATCAGATTAAAAGCATCTTCAAAAAATACTTAGACCGTGTATTAATAAGAATATTGATTAAATCCCTAATCCTTCAATTTGTATTGGGCTGATGTTTCATTCTAATCTTCTTTAAAAAATCGGCATTACATTTTTATGAGCTTTAAATGTACATTTTCCAGAATTAAAGATGGGCTTGAAAGCAGTCTGTGTGTAGTTAATCTATAAAATGTTACTGAAAGAAGAAAGAATCTTAGAGATTATTCTTATTTATATAGATGCAACCATATGATGGATTATCTCCAGCCCCCCTTGTTATGTAGATGGGATTCATTTTCTTCTTAAATTAGTCAGTTGTGGGTACGAGTCTGGAAGGACAGACAATAACTTGATGTTATTGTACGTGTTCTCGTTCTTACTTTGCCACTCTGTTTTCAGTTCCTGCATATCTCATTAACCTCATTAGGCCTGAACGAGTCCCAAGAAACGCAGTCTCAACCCCTGGCTCCAGCCTGCATATGACATGAAAACATGGATTAGAAAAACATAGCACAGTCTAACAATTATTTCTACAAACAACATACTTTAGTTTGTTATTTGCCTCTACAATTGGTCTCTTTGTTTGCTAGCTCTCCGAGAAATTTACTTGTATTCCATTAGTGAAGGTCAAATGCAACAACACATAGCTCTTTAACAGTGAACATGCAGAGTACACACTCTGTTGATGTGTCAGTGATCTCACCTGTCATTAAGCATTAATGTGTTCCAGTAAGCCTCTAACGGGGCAGTGACCACAGCATCAAATAATGTCTGCTGGAGCAATAATTCATCACCTACATGCAACACAGGTGGAATAAAAAATAAATACATGTACCAGAAGCTTAAAACAAAGATTATTTGTGAGTAGGTAAAACCTACACTCTAGGTCAGGCTCCTTCCCCTGCAGGTATCGGATGACTGCTTGATACTGGGTATATTTTCGATGATCAGGGTCGATGTCTGTCTCACAGTAGGTCCTGTGAATAAAGGATTTTGCCAATTCTTAGATAGAGGAACCCAGATTCTGTTGCAAGTCTGATTTGTTAAACAGAAATTTTATCATTTTTGGCACTAGGGCATGATATTCTAAAATCCCACATCAGGATGCTGTGTTGTTTAGTCTATGGTTGGTGTGGACTTGTCTTACAGCACAGGACATCAAGCTGTGACAAACGATTTTAGTGCAATAATTGTAAAATCATGTTTTGTATTAATAAGCATAGGTAATGCTTTAATTGGGGGTTAGATTACAGAATCTAATTGTGTAAAAGTGCCAGAGGCCATACAAACTTGTATTGGCTCTTTAAATAAGGCAGATAAACTATATAACAATGTCACAAAAGTAAAAAGGATAATGTATAGCACAAATTAAAAAAGAACTACACTTGGTATTCTTTAGCATAATAGCATTTTCAGTTTAGCTTGAGTGACATACATCTCCTTTAATTATTTAATAAATTATGTTGATTACTGTTGTAATAAAGATTAGTGGACCTATCAGAGTTATTTTTGCATACATGTATAATTTGGGGGCTTTGTGTTTAACAATGCGAAACCTTTGAGTTATAGTCACTGTGACATTATGTTGTGCCTGCATAAGAACAATATAGCACTTGTAGGATGACAGCAGTGATAAATTTTTGTACAGTTGTTTTTATCTCAGTCTCATTTCTATGGGCTTACCTAATCCTGTTTGATATTAGATTAATAATTAGGGCAACATCTGTTAACTGTAGGCTGCTATAATATAGAAATTTAGCTGGACTTTAAATTGTGTATATGGGGGAATTTAAGAGTAGGCTTAGTACACAGCCCTGTGGTACTCCAGCGCCATTGGATGTCACAATGGAGGAAAGCCTACCTCATTCTTCAAAACTATATCCTTCTGAAAAGAAAGTCCAGAATCTCAAAGGTGGGTGTCAGTTTTGTTGCCAAATTGTTTGGATACATTTTTAATTAATATTAAAAAACAAAACAAAACAAAAAAACAAACAAACAATGGAGCTCATCTGTTATTGCAAAAATATTCATACTAAATTGCAAGACAATACTTTGCTTGTGATGTGATACATGCTACAGTGGTTATTTCATTTTGTTTTACTTCAAATTTGAAGTGACTCGAAAAAGAAAATACCACCAGCTAACCTGCACAGTGGTTTAAAACCCACCCAGGAAACCTAACTGAACCAACCATAGTTGGGCCTCAGCTCATTTAACTGAATGGAAAGAGCTGTGGGTGAGAATATTATTGGGTGTATTAATAGGTTTATTATTGTGTCTGAATAAACAGAGACACGATTTTGCTTACTTATGCGAAAGCAGCAGGTTTACTTTACAACTTTTTAACCTGAGATGTTAAAGTCTTCATCAATCAACATTTTGGAGGTTATCGACCTGGTTGATTCTTAGGTCGGATGCAGATATTTTGTAGCCTACCGAGTCTTATATTACAATTACAAAACATTTTAACAATTCTTTATCAGTCTAATGCTCAGAATTGCTTTCTTAGGAAGAATGAAATGCCCTACAGATTAGTAATCGCAAGTGGAGCATTGTGTTTATAATGCTCTGCCAATGTTTGTAAAATTTGCAGAGCATAACACATTATGCATAATGTAAGACATTATTCCACACCAAGAAGATGGAAATTAAAAAGAAAAATATTCATACAAAGTTTGATAAAGATAATCTAAAAATTCCTCATCCCTGAACAAGCCCTTACATGTTCTTTCAAAACAGTGTTGTGGCATAACAGAGGCTATAGCAGTCCAAACTATGATCATCTATGCTATTTTTATCATAGTTACATATGAGGCCCCTGAGCGATGGGTAGAGGCAAAAATACCTTATCAGTTGTAACCATGTTTAAATATAAAACGTCCAAAATGTTTTTTCCACTCTTTGCAAAATGATGTTGTACAGCTAAAATACTTATATTATGCAGATGAGAATGTGTAGTCCATTTAAATATCTGTCAGGGTTTGGTTGAGGTTAGAGGACCCAAATGCAGAGACAGGGAGGGAGGGGTGAGTTTCTTAAAAAATTTAATGAATTAAACACAGGTAACAGAGGGAGGATTCCAAAAATCCTACATGAAAAATATAAAACAAACCAGAACCATGGAGACACCTGGGGAAAACAATCACGAGGAGCCAGGATAAAACGAGGTACGTCAAAGTAAGACGAGGAAAGACAGGGTAAGACGGGGAACCAGCACAGAGGAACTGCACAAGGAGAGTATTTGTGGTAGACTTAACAAGGAGAGGGCTAACGAGCTGATTGGGAGCAGGTGTGAGGGGAGCAGTCAAGGAAGGAGCTAGGGAAAGGGAGACCAACACAAGAGGCCAACAGAGGGCAACAAATAAAAACCTTAGAATTCAAATATATCCAGAAAATACAACAAAATAGAGATTAAACCAATAAAACTAGAAAACATGGAGCAAAGTAAAACATAACAGAACCAAGACAATATCATGCATTCCTGCGAGGCCCAGCCTTGAAAATTCTATGAAAACTAAATTTGTTGACAGAGAGCTTAGCATTTTATCATAAAATATCATAAACCCAATGTCCACAGAATGGTTTGACTGTGCATTAAGGCATAGCATTATTCAATTCGATTACGTTAAGCTTATCTAAACACTGGATTTCACAACACATAATGAAAATTAGCTGGGATTTGAATTGTGAATTAGTTTCAGCAAATTCCAGTTATTATTAAAGCTGTTTTAACCTTATTTAATCTTCAAGATACACTTTGATTTTCTAACATAATAGCAATGTTGAACTGTGATACATTGCATAACATTATTGATAACAGTTTTCAACTATTTTCATTTGTCTTTTCTGATGTGTAAATAGCAGCTTTTAATTTCTGTGTAGTTTTGCTAGCTTACCTAAAAATGTTTAACTGAAGTATGTTTAAATTGTAGTTTAATTTTTTCAAATAAATGTATGTTTGGAATGGATGTGGTTGTGAATTTATTCCATATGTATGCTTGACCATGATCGCATTAATCACTGTTTTACTGTATCTGATGTCCTACACACAGCCATTTGGTGGATGTTCACAGGAAAACATATGAAAGATAACAAGTTCTTTGATTGAATATTAAACAACATCACAGGATTTAAGTGGAACACAATTCACCCATACCCACAGCAGATTGTCACCAATTCTAAATAAAGCTTTGTATAACCAGCATGCTCATGGAGTTAGTTTTTTCTGCATACTTTGATGGCATGGCTGATAGCAAACTATCCCATGTTGAACAAACCTCTTTGGGTTACATGGCACATTTACATTAGAAAATATCAAGATGTGCAAACTTTTTTTTTCTTAGGATATGGATTTTTTAAATATACAGTTGTGTCTGAATGTTTCCATACCCTTCCATTAAAGAAAATAATGAATTTACACTAGTAATTTCAATAACACAAAACTGAATAAAGTCATTCTATAATGAGCATGTACAAACATAGATATAGATTATATTGCTCTATATTTGAAAAAGAAAATTGGAAATGCAATAAATCTACTTCAATCTAATTCACTCCATTACAGATTTATTCTGAATGTTAAAGTTATTAACCTACCACTCAGAGGCAATGCTCAGGTCAGGGGAGGTCAGATCATGCAGTCCTGTATTAGAAGGTAAAAACAATCACTAAAAAACAAATTACAGCAAAACATTCTGGTGTTAAAGATGCAGTTTTATCTGATTTATCTAATTCACCTTGTACACATACACAATGTGTTGGAAAAAATGTTTGCTTTTTTGTAAAAAAAAAAAAAATAAATAGTTGTGCAGAACATTCTACACTAAACACAAGGTTTTTTATTAGGAAACATAATCTAGATGTTTACCTTCTTCCACTGACACATTTCCTGTAAACATTAGACTGCCATGGCCCTTGGTAAGCACCATGCCAAAGCTGAAGAGGGCAGAAATAGCAGAGGAATGTTTACTGGAGAGTGACTGACTGTTAGTCTCTGTTTATAGCCAACATATCTACATTGTTAAAATGACGGCAGTATGTTGAAGTAAAAAGTATGTTATACCTGAAAGGCGTTTCAGCAATGTTGGTGTAGAAATAGTTGTTGATCAGGTACAATGGTCTCTTCTATAGGATAAAGAGATATGCTGGTCAAGCATTATTCACAACAGCAATGTTCATCAAACTGGCCTTTGTGTATTGAAATACGATACAGTATACACACACACACACCCATAT